TTTATTTGATTATACTCAATACGCAGTTTTGCGTACATACAGTTATAAAAATTATAAAAAGTTATATAACAAAAAAAAAAAAAAAAAAAAAAAAAAAAAAAATGTGCGGCTTAAGCTTAAAAAAAATTAACGACTTTTCAATCTTAACAAAAATGTGCGATTAGTTGATAAGTATACTCAGGTCAGATTGCTTTCAATAGATTGTAAGAAAGCTCACTTACCGTTTTGCTTTTGTTTTTGTTTATTATTTTTTATTATTTTAATATTTACTTTTTTATTACTAATATTATTCATCACTTTTCTTAATCTTTAATAGGCTGCTGCTACTTACGTTCATATAAATATTGTTACTTATATATCTTATCGCCATAACCATTCGCCGTAATGAAAACTACAAATAGCATATGTGCTGTTTGCAATGTTTCCAATTACTAAAAAATTACTCAAAAAATTGTTCTTGGTTTTGTATAAATTGTTTAGCCAGTATTTTTCCCTTCAATAAAGAAACTATAACTGACAACGAAAATCTTACTAATGTTGACACCAAAGTAAATAAGATTTATCAAGTATCAGATTTCCCCATATACTCAATCTTTAACACATTTAATACACATGTTGATAACAATAACAAATCCCAAAATCTCCCAATAAACAGTTATTATACTAATGTTGATGATTTAAAATGTATTGCAGCTGACAAATCCTCATTCAATGTATTTCATATCAATATCTCATCACTCTCGAAACATTTTGACGACCTTGAAAATCTACTCCAATCAACAAAACTTGAATTTGACATAATTGGTATATCAGAAACCAGACTGAATAAAAACAGGCCTCAAACTAGCAACATAACACTTAATGGGTATTCCCATGAACACACACCATCTGAATCACATGCAGGTGGTGCATTATTATATATAAATAACAGGCTCGCCTATAAACCCAAAAATGATCTCCTCATCTATAAAACAAAAGAGCTAGAATCTATCTTTATTGAAATCATAAATCCAAAAAAATCAAATATTATCGTTGGCTGTATCTACAGGCATCCAAAAATGTCTTTGGACAACTTCTTATCCTTCTATCTTAATCCTTTACTCAAAAACTTTACAAAAGAAAATAAAACTATATTTATTTTAGGAGATTTTAACATTGATTTGTTAAAATGTGACACAGATTTATATGCAAAAGACTTTTTAGACTCACTTACCTCAAATTACATTCTTCCTCACATTATCCACCCTACTCGTATCTGTAAAACATCAAAAACATTAATTGACAATATCTTTTCAAATATTAAATCAAATAAATATAAAGCTGGCAATCTTACCACCACAATCTCAGATCATCTTCCCCAATTTATAATAGCATATAATATTCTTAAACCACCACCTAGCAAAAAACTCCTAACCCAGGAAAGAAACTGGAAAAGTTTCAATGAAGTATCATTTAAACACGATTTTCACAAAACTATTATAGATAAAGAACCAAAAATATACCCTGATAACTGTACTCTGATAACAAATTAATATCTCCAATATTAATTTGTTGCTTGATATCCACGTGCCTTTTAGAAAGCTTAACAAAAAAAATATTAAATTCAAGACTAAACCATGGATATCTGATGAACTAAAGCACTCTATACAGCACAAAAACAAGCTCTTCAAAAAATATATTCGGTCTAAAAATCAAACAAATAAAACCATATTCCACAATGAGTATAAAATATTTCGTAATAAACTCCAATCTAAACTCAAAGAAAGCAAAAAAAATTACTTTGATAATTATTTTACTGAAAACATAAAAAATATAAAGGCAACCTGGAAAGGTATCAAAAACATCATTAATATTAAAAGCAACTCTCACACAACTCCTAATGTAATTGTACATAACAATATAACAATAACAAACCCCTTTGATATTTGTAATACATTAAACAACTACTTTACTGGCATTGGTAGGGATGTCCAGGCAACAATTCCTTCATCCATGAATCATTTCACATATTACTTATCAAATCCTGCTCAAAAATCTTTCTTTATAAAACCTACTGACGAACATGAAATCTCAAAAATTATCAACTCTTTAGACTCAAATAAAGCTTCTGGATTTTCTGAATGGTCTACCAGTTAAAATTCTAAAACTAATAAAAACTGAACTTTCAAGAATTCTTTCTAACATTTTTAATACCTCATTCTCAAGCGGTATTTTCCCAGAAAACTTAAAAACTGCCAAAGTTATACCTATTTTTAAAAATGATTCAAAACAAATAATGTCAAACTATAGGCCAATCTCCCTCCTCTTTAACATTGATAAAATTCTTGAAAGGCTAATGTTTAACCGCTTTTACGAATACATTAATGAAAATAAACTGTTTTGTGATCTACAATTTGGTTTTCGAACAAACTACTCTACATCACTTGCTTTACTAAGTCTAACAGAAAAAATTAAAAATTCTCTAGATGAAGGAATGTTTGGATGTGGTATTTTTATTGATCTTCAAAAGGCATTTGACACTGTAGATGTTAACATTCTACTCTATAAACTATCCTACTATGGTATTAGAGGAGTTTCAAACTCCTGGTTTAAATCTTTTCTTACTAATAGAACTCAATTAGTATCTATTGGTGGAGTGAACTCAAAGTAACGATATCAAAGTAGGTGTTCCTCAGGGATCCGTCCTTGGCCCTTTGCTGTTTCTTATTTATATAAATGACATGTCTAAAGCATTAAAATTTTGTCGAGTCCAACACTTTGCAGATGACACAAACCTTCTCTACTTTAATAAATCTGTAAAAAAAATCAACAAATATGTTAACTATGACCTTAAGAAACTATGCAATTGGCTTAATGCAAACAAAATTTCCCTCAACTCCAAAAAAACTGATTTAATATTATTTAAAAGTCCCCACAAAAAATTAGACCAGCAGATCAAAGTTAAATTAAATGGGAAAAAACTTTGTTGTAAAAAATTTGTTAACTACTTGGGTATAAAGCTAGACGAAAACTTAAACTGGGTTTATCATTATAACGATATCTCTAATAAGTTGAATAGATCCCTTGCCATTCTATCAAAGCTAAGACATTTCATTCAACAAAAAAACTTTAAAATCTATTTATTATGCTTTATTTCACTCTCACCTCACATATTGCCTTTTATCATGGAGTCAAAATATGAGTATTATTAATCGCCTATTTATCATGCAGAAAAAAGCAGTCAGAATTATTTTAATTAATTAATTATTCACCTTATGTGAATGTATTAGCTAGCTTGTTTTTTTTTTTTGTTTTTTTTGTTTGTTTTGTTTTTCTTTCGTTTTTGTTTTGCTCATGGTCGCTCTCCTCGATTTAGCCAGGCTATATGAGAGTGAACCATCCAGAATATAGACTATACATATATATATTTTTTTATTTGTATTTTATAACATGCTTATTATAAAACATCTATATTCTTGGTAAATATATTGCTTTTTGTTGTTGTTTGTTGTTGTTGTTGTTGTTCTTTTTTCTGGTGGAGTAGTTGGCACTAAACTCTTGGGTATTTGTTCAAATACACTAGGTGGATCTCGAGGTCTTTCTCTTCCTTTTACTTTAATAACTTGGAAGTTTGGTGGAAAATGTTATGCACAAACTACATGTTTGTGTTATGTTTGTCTGGCATATTTTCTCTTCAAGAGAAAATATATTCAAGAGACTCTTGGGATTGCTTTAATCCATCTTAGACGCTCTACTGGATCTCTCGGTAATCTGAAAGTAGTCGTCTTATCTTTTACTAAGTATAGTTAGAGTTACAACCAGTAACACAACATTTTCTGGGCATTTTTAAGTCTTTTGGTATACCAAATTTGTATCCTTACCGGTAAGGATACAAATTATTCGTAGTAACTTTTGCGTTTTGCCGCTAACTAAATCAGCCTTCAGATTTTTGCGCCTGTTATTTAATTACGCCTTGATACGAGAACAAAAGCGAATTTTTAATACCGATAAAGTAAACAAAAAAAAAAAAAATAAGAAATAAAAATAATAATAATAAAATAACCCCAAGCATAACAAGATTAAACTATTCTAAATTACTATAAAATCTAAGTGGATATAAAATAACAAATAAAAACTCAACAAATACAACTTAACAATATACATGCCAAACATGGTTTAAAAAAAGAATCACAGATTTTTACTTATATATTGTCATATTATGGTTATAGTATGTCATACTATAGTTTTTACGTTAATACTAACATAATTACTAAAATAATTTCAGGCAATATGTCAATAAATTTTTACTTTTCTTTTTCTTAGTTAATTTGTAAAATCTTTAAAAAGTTTAGGCAATTAATAAAGTGACTAAATAGGCAATTTACAAAATGTTTAATATTTTCAGACATTTTATATATTGCCTGGTTTAACACTTTTACTTAAAACACACACACACACACACACACACACACACACACACACACACACACACATACATTGATATTGATATTGTTCTATTACTTAAAAAAAAAATTGTCATTGAATTTTGGAAATTAAATTTTTGGAAATTAAACCTAGTGGGAATTCTGTGGTATACGTGGTGCCATTGGGCTGGCTAACGCCCTTATATATAAATATATTATGTTATGATATATTATGTTATATATATATATATATATATATATATTATATATATATATATATATATATATATATATATATGTGTATATATATATATATATATATTTTTTATATATATGTAAAGGTATATTATATATATATATATATATATATATATATATATATATATATACATATGCGTATACCAGTTATATATATATATATATATATATATATATATATATATATATATATATATATATATATATATATATATATATATATTATATATATATATATATATATATATATATATATATATATATATATATATATATATATATATATATATATATATATATATATATATATATATATATATATATATATATATATATATAAAGGTATATGCATATTTAGAAAGTGATGGAACATTGAATTACATCATGGCAGAATGAATGATGAAATAAAAGAAGGTTTTTTGTGTCCCATATGTCTTCAAGATTTAAAGTCTCCAACAAATCTTTCTTCTCATTTTGAAGATGTGCATCAAGATGAGAAGCATATTGTTGCACAACTTCGCTCAGTATTTGGCAAGGCAAAACGAAAAATTTTAAAACAACCTGAAATTAAATATCAGACCGAAAATCCCTCAGAGAGTTCTATCTTATCTTACGGAACTACTGCAACTGGTGGAATTGACATATCATTATGGGATAGTCAAAAGATAGGTTTGCTTTTTGATGTATATATTTTTTTAGAATAAAGAAAAACTTTTTATTGTTGACACAATATGTTGTTTTCAAGAAAAAAAAATAAAAATTTAAGGTGTTTTTATTTTTTTATTTTGTTTTTGTGTAGGGAATGCCTATGTTTAAGTTGTTATAATGTTATGTTTATAACGCTTATGTTTCTCTGATTCAATTATTACATTGAATTAAAGTTATTATGTTTCAAATGTTATATATTATATTTATAATATATAAAAGTTATATTGTATTTTGTACTTTGAATTTAAAGGTTTTTTAGAAAGTTTTTGCTTGGTTTATATATTTTTTTATTTTTGAAAAACTATGTATTTTACAAAGTAATTGATTAAAATTACATTAATTTTTATTTTAGTAAGTCTTATCAAAAATAACTTTTGAAAGTTTTTATAGCTTAATGTCATTGATGATGTCATACTGACTTGAACATTGTCAGCGACTATCGCATACATTACACACATACATTAATGGTCTAAAGAGTTTGTTTTGTTATTATAATGATCTTCTAATAATATTTATATAAAATATATTTTAATTCTAATAATAGTATTTTATATTATTGTAATCTTATACAAAATATTTTGATTTAAAATTAAGATTAGAGAAAAAAGTATTTTATTTATATACGTACAAATGTATATTAGGGTGTCTGAAAAACAACATATTTTAAAAGTTTATGCTGCAACCCCACTGTGGAAAATAGTACTACAAAAACGTACCATAAATGTTTTTTGCTTAAATTTCAGTTTCACTACTGAAAGTTTATTTTAATATTTTTTTATAATTTAATTGTTAATCTTTACTATAAAGTAGAAATTTCAGCTAATTTTTTGTAAAAAGATAATTTTTGAAGCTCTACTGTTTCATATTTTTGTAAATGCTCAATTGAAGCTTATTAGCTTTGTCACTTTAAAAGTTATTTTTGATAAAACTTTTTATGAATAAGCATGAAAGCATCATGTTTTGGAGATTTTAGAACAAATGCATATTTTTAATTATATTGTTTTGTTTAATAATGATAAATTGAACTGTAAAATGAGCTAGAAAAAAAATATATCTTAAAGTTAACCAATATTTTTGACAGTCACACGTGCATAATTTTTATAATTAATTTGTAGCTTAGGTGTCTATAAAAATGATTTATTAAAAATCAGATGCTGATAAATGCAGTTTCCAAAACTATAGATAAATGTCAGAAAATAGAAAACCGCTTTTTATTATGGTTTCAGACTATATCTGTTTATAACAATAGTTTTGCGTAAGTATTTTAGTCATTTTTTTATTGAGAATTAATTTTGATGGACATGTATTCTATTATTTTGGCATTTTGTGGTAAAAATGTTACCAGCAATTTTTGAACGCTGTATTATTTAAAAAATAATATGTAAATAGTTGAAAAGTTTATATTACTGCAACAAATTTGCAGTAGAAATTAAATATTTTGGCTACTTTCAAAATGAAAAGTATTCAAAATGTAAACTATTATTTCCCTATATTGATAAAGGAAGGTCAATTGAGACACTATTAATGATTTTAAAAGAAAATTATCAAGTTTCTAAGGATAGCTGGTGTTTCATTGTTAGTGATATTCAAATGCGCATTTTTCCATGGTTTAATAAACAATGGAGCAATGTGTCACAGAAAATGGAAGCTTTTTTATCTAACAACAATAATTGGTTAGATTCTGAATATAGTGTATTTTAACCGAAATTGAAAAGTGCAATAACAGACCCACACCATCTACTTCATTTGAAAAATGTGGAAGACTGTGCATGTTTTGGAGATATGTCAGAGACCAGTAAAAAAGAAAAAAGTTCCACATTAGTTAAGGAAAATTGGATTCGAGCACATCTCTAATGAATATCTTCAAGCATTATGTTCAATAGAAGAAGAAACAGAAGCAATATGTCTTAAGTTTTATGGAAAACACAAACGTTTTACTGATAGATGAAGAAGCGTGTTTGTTGATTTTTATTTAACTAAAGCACTGAAGTTGACAGACAAAAAAAACTGTTCCTTACTCCCACCATATTACAATTTTGTATATTCCCTGTTTATGATTTATTATTGTTTATATATTACGTTTATATACTACGCTGAAATTTATATTTTCCAAGTAGTTATAGTTTATTTATCTAGTAACTAAAATTTGAGTTTTTCTGTTCTGTGCGTGATTCTGCTTCAAACTTGATTTACTCTTTGTTAGCATTACTAATATATACCAGTTTTTGTTTACAAAATATTAATATAGGTCAGAATTAAATAAGAGCAAATTGGTGATCACCAGTTTATTATGAAAATAATAGACAAATCCTATAAGAATTTTCGTGAGTGACTTTTTTAGATATGCCCATATGGTTTCACTTCATTTGAGACCTTACATGAATTTTTTTTTGTGATAGTATTAGGAAACATATGTTTAAGGGTCTTGATTGACTCCTAAAAATATTTTATATATATATCATATAGAACACATTAAGGGGGTAGGAGCATATGTTTTTCAATATCAGAGGCTATTCTAGACTAGTTTTCAACAGCGTCAACCGTAGTTGAGCGCCGATTTGGGCGTCGTCCAAATTTAAAATTAAGGATATTTTTATGGCGAATATTGTTATCACAAAAGAAACGTAGATTTTCCGCTAAAGTCCGCCAAAACAAAGGGGTACCAATTTTTTTCCTAGAATAGGCCCTATATATATATATATATATATATATATATATATATATATATATATATATATATATATATATATATATATATATATATATATATATATATATATATATATATATATATATATATATATATATATATATATATATATATATATATATATATATACATATATATATATATGTATATGTATGTATGTATGTATGTATGTATGTATGTATGTATGTATGTATGTATGTATGTATCTATGTATGTATGTATCTATGTATGTATGTATCTATGTATGTATGTATGTATTAAGGTTAAATTACAACAAAACTAATTAATTTAATTGAGGAAACTAATTAAATTTAATGTTTTTTTTTAAACCACAAAAACACAAACTAAAAGATTGGAATGTTTTTAAAAACATACTGAATGTTTTTATTTTACTTTTTTCTAAATAAAAACATTCTAAATGTTTTTATTTTTTTACTGTAAAACATGCGCAGTGTTGCTTAGGGTGGTTCAAATTTAGGTCAAAAAATTTTTACGACTAGAGTGGAAGTTTATAAGGTGCACAGACCCTTGTTTTATATATAGGCTTTTTTTTTTTTGAAGTTTAAGGGTGACACACGGCCCAAAAGTACTTTTTTTTTTAACCTTTTTTTGACGTTTTTGGACCAGTGTATGCCACCCTTAAACATTATTAAATTCAAATTATTTTTTTTTTTACATATTCTTGCAAGGACCTATACAAAAAAATAAAAAGGCACTCTAACTCAATTTATTTTTTGAAAACTTAAAAAATGTCCTTTAAAAATACCTAAGAACAATTTTTTTTTATATCTAATGAATTTTTTTATTATTTCTATACAAGCAGCTATTTCAAATGTAATAATCATACTCAATGTTCAACATCTGCTATTTTTATAAGATTAAACAAAATTTATTAATGTTGGCAAAGTGTTTATTTTAAAATAAAATTCAATTTATTATAATTTATTTACATAAAATAAAAAGTAAAATAAAAAATTATGCCAAAAATTCTTAAAAAAAAAATAAAAATAGAGGCCAAGAAATATTCTTAGTTAAAAAAAACTAGAAAGACTATCATCTATTCAATTTGCAACTGTAGAAAACGTTTTACAGTATTATCTTTACCCACGTGAGTCCAAACCATCAACTTCTCTCAAAAACTTAGTTTGTTGTCCAAACAAAGGTTCTACATTTATATCAAATTGTCCATTTTTTGGGAGAGAACTGCTGCGTTATATCTAAGCTGAAGGTTTCATGGAAACTTGGTGGATACAGAACTCGTGACATACAATGCGTTTTACGGTTAGTAATATTTATGAAATCTTAATCTAAATTAGCTTTACAGTTATTTAATGTCTTATTTTTAGGAAAAAAGTTGAGGCTGTAGTAATGAAATACAAAAAGTTAGACAGTATATAAAAGACTCCAAATATAAATTGATTTCTGTTCACTTTGACGGGAAAATATTTAAACAATATACAGATAAAGTTTCAGTTACAAGAGAAAGATTAGCAGTACTAGTGAAAGTAAATGGGAAAACTGAGCTCCTAGGTATTTCGCATATTGAGTTAGGTTCTAGGGAAAATCAGTTCAAAGCAGTTTATAATCTATTAGATTCTTTTGGCCTTAGTCATCATATACAGTGTATATGTTTTGATACTACAGCTTCCAACACTGGAAAGCACCAAGGAATTATAACAAGAATGGCCGATAAGCTGGGAAGGCCACTACTTTTCCTTGCCTGTAGACATCATATATTGGAAAGACATATTACCCACTTTAACAAGATATATCCCAGTAGTAAAACGTCTGGTCCAGAAAACCAGCTCTTTAAACACCTGAAATCTGTCTGTAATGATCTTGAAAAAGACATTGTTACATTGAAGAGGATTGAAACTCCAAATGGAACTTGGATAAATAAACAACATCTTGAGGCTAAAAATTTTACAGAGATGTAATAGATAACAGGATCTACAAAAAGGTTAATTACAGTTTTGTAGTAGCTTGCTTAAAATAATTTAAACAATCTGTATACACTATGTATAATCATAAATATAAAAAATCCTTTATTTTTAGGATGGTAAATCAAGAAAGGATTATCAAGAGTTAGCGAAACTATCTTTGATGGTAGTTTCTCAAAAAAATAGGTTCATATTTGGTATTCCTGGTCCAATGCATCATGCAAGATTCATATCAAAAGCGTTGTATTACCTTAAAATGTATTTACTATTGGAAGCTATTCCAAGTTTATCAGAAGAAAATAAAGAAGAGATTCGTGAAATGGCTATATTTGTCAGTATTTTTCACACGCAATGGTTTTTTAGAGCAGTATCGGCAACTGTGCCATATCAGGTTAAAATTAATCATTATAAATAAGAAAAAAGTGTAAAAAATGATGAATTTTCCAATTGATAACTTAATCTAATATTGTTAAATATATTTTTCGGATATGAAAGCTCTGTGGCAGATAGAGAGGTTCATGGATACAAATCTTCTTGGAGCTACTTTAGCAATAAAATCATTTGGCAGACACAGCTGGTACCTTGATCTTGTCTAAGTTGTGCTTGCATTTGCAGATAAACGTTGCCCAAACAGAGAAGATATTGCCACATTATTATACAATAAACCTCCCATCAAACCAATAGTGTATCCACTTGAACGTGTTATGGTCAATAAAGCAGTTCTTCACTCTCTTTTTTCACAAGATCAGTCTCCATCTCTTTGTTTTCTAATAATTGAGCAATCTTGGTTCATCTTTGATAAGATGACATGGAAAGGGTGAGTTGCAGTGGCTTAAGATCCCCTCGCAGTTTTACAAGTTTAATGATTTTTATCTTGAGTTTGAATCTACTATTAAATCTCTAGATGCTGTTAACGATTCGTCAGAGAGGACCATAAATCTAGTAAAAGAGCTGATTGAAAAACCAACCAAAGTGAAGAAGAGACAAGATTTGTTCTTGTTAAACCTTGTTTACAAAAGAAATAAAAAAGGGACAAAGAAAAAAGATTTAACATCAAATGTAATTAGTAGTATTTTAAATTGCTGATTGTTGGTTATTTAATCAAAGTTTAAAATTACGCTTTATTTATTCCCATTTCTCTACCTGCAACTCGTAATAAAGTTTTATTATTAGGGTAGTGGTAATCCAACTTCATCTAGAGTTATCTCTAAGTTTAACATCAAAAATTATGTAATACATTAAACTAGATTTTGTAATAAAAAAACCATAGAACTATATGTTAAGCTTTTAACCCCCTCTTTTTAGGAAAGGTGGGAACTTTACATGGTCATAACTTTTAAATGCTATAATATTATTAAATTAAATTTGAAATCTGTCGATAAATGTAAATTTAGTTCAGAATAACATTAGTATAAATTTGGGCAACTTATTGCCCTCACCTTTAGGGTAGGGGGGGGGGCTAAGTTTTACGGTTTTTCTAGATCTCAGGCTCCGATCACTGGAATTTTTTCAAAGCATCACAATTTGATATAAGTATAGGTATACATAGTTTTGAAGCTTTTTCCATGTCTACATGTTATTTATCACAAGCAGCAACGAAAGCTATCGCAATCATTGAAATAAAGAAAATCGTTTTTTTCTCAATATTTAGCGACTTTTCTATAAGTTTTTCATTGTTGAAAAAAAAAAATACAAATAGAGTGTTATTTTTTTATGTAGGTCCTTGCAAGAATATGTAAAAAAAAAATAATTCGAATTTAGTAATATTTAAGGGTGGCACACGCTGGTCGAAAAACGTCAAAAAGGGTAATAAAAAGTACTTTTGAGCCATGTACCACCCTTAAACTTCAAAAAAAAATCTTATACATAAAACAAGGTTCTGTGCACCTTATAAACTTCCACTCTAGTTTGAACCACCCTAGTGTTGCTACATCAACTATCTTATAGCCTGCTGCTACAAGGGAGTGTTGCTACATTGACTAGAGAAAATGTGAGAAATGCTGCTACATCAACTGACAATAGGTAAAACATGCAAGGAGTGTTGCTACATCAACTAAGGGTTTAGGTTTCGGGAGGCAATTTATTAATTTAAAAAAATGTTTTTATAAGTTTTTAAGTATATATTTTTTTTGATTGTTTACTTTTATATAAAATAATATTAGAATATATAAAATAATAAGTTTATTATTTCCAGGACAGTTCCAATCGCATTTCAATTTGTTTTCCCAGCATAGAAAAAATACAATTGAAAGACAAGTAGTAGAATTAAATAAGCTTCTTATTCGGCTTGAGAAGGTAAAGTTTGCTTATCTCATTTTTTAGAACTTATTTTTTACAAAAAAATAAAAATAATAGCAATAATGAGTATTAAACAATATGTAATATTGTTATATATATATATATATATATATATATATATATATATATATATATATATATATATATATATATATATATATATATATATATATATATTTATATATATATCAACCCTCAGAATTAAGCTCGGCTTTTGGCAATGCCGACCTAACTGCCGACCTGAAAGTGTTTGAGGTCGGCAAAAATTGCTGACCTCGTTTCTATGTTTTATGGTCAGACCTTTATATTAAATAATTTTTGCCGACCTGATGCCGACCTCAAAGAGATAGCAATAATTTGCAGACCTCATTTTTCCTTATTCCAAGGGTTGATATATATATATATATATATATATATATATATATATATATATATATATATATATATATATATATATATATATCAACCCTTGGAATAATAAAGTATGGGTTAGCGCACCAAATTCCATGGTACTTTATATATACACCTGAAAGTGTTTGAGGTTGGCAAAAATTGCTGACCTTGTTTCTATGTTTTATGGTCAGACCTTTATATTAAATAATTTTTGCCGACCTGATGCCGACCTCAAAGAGATAGCAATAATTTGCTATATATATATATATATATATATATATATATATATATATACATATATATATATAAAGTACCATGGAATTTGGTGCGCTGACCCATACTTTATTAGTAGAATTTTTTTGAATTTTGAATTTTAACCACTTTTAGGGATTGCTCAAGTGCCTCAAAAATCATATTTTAGACTTTTTTACCCTTTTTTAAGCCCAATTTTTGCACATTTGAGCAAGTACTAAAACTCAAAAAAATTAAATTTTTTTTCTTTCCAGAGTTTCTTCCAAGTTAAAAAAAAAAAATTAAAATGCGTGGTAATTTTTTTTTTTTTTTTTTTTTTATAATTTGTCTAAATTTATCTACAGAAAAGCAAAGTTATACAGATTTTTACCAATATTTGAGCTTCGCGTTAATTTAAACAATTTTGTGTATTTGCTTAAACATGTTATGCATATAACTTTTTAATTTTGAAACGATATTTAATTTTGATTTAAAAAAAGCGTAAAATGAATATTGATTACTTTTATGATATACTTAATCCATATACTTATTACAGATATTTACTACAGATTTACTCATGTCAGGAAAAAGTAATAAAAAAGTTGTCACACATTTTTTGGTAGGGGAATCAAGGTCATCCTTACCAAAAGACAATTTTTTTTTACAGCGTAAGAGGTTTTGCAATTCTTCTTGCATTTGAAGGAGAAGAACCCAAAACAAAAAGAAATGAGATTTAACCACTATCCATTAACAAAAAACTTCAAAATCAGTTGCCATAATAAAAAATATATTTGTTGCATTCTTTCAAAGTTAATTGAACCTTTGATGAAAAGTGGATTTCAGATTTTGCAATTACAAACAATTAGGTAGGTAAAAGACTGTAGAAGTTTTTCTTTTATTTATATATTATTACTTATTAGAGGAAATATTAATATAACTAATGTCTGCTGTTAAATAAGTGAATAAACAGAAATAGATGTGTTGTAAAATATACCGAACCTATGAATCACATTTTTTAGTATAAAGAAAGAGAAGCTGATCCGAACCTGGAAACTGTTAAAAAAAACAAAGCAAGGCAAACTTTATCAGAGTTTGAAAAAAGGAGGAAGTTTTTAACTCAGATGAAATAGATCTTTTGGATTACACCTGAGCTCGATACTCTGGTTGCAATCATTAAAGCTGATAGGAACAAAATGATCAAGACAAAACTGAAGATATTGCATTTTTATTGGACCAATTAGGAGATAGAAAAAATGAGAATAGTTGGAATTGACACAAGGTACCTTTACTCTGTAAACAGGAGTTCATCCAACTCTAAAATGCAATCAAATTTGCATGAAATCATGTCAGAGAGTGAATTCAGCTCAAATGGATCCAAGAAAGATGAAGATAATAAATCTATCAAATAACACACATGGTTTCTGGACCCTTACCTTATTGTACTAGCCCTAGCTGATGAAAAATAGAGAAAACATGGAGGTCCTCAACTCTTTAGACTTCAGTGGACCGAAGCCTCCCAACTTAGTTCAATTGGTCACAGAAAATTCGTGGCTATTGTTCCTTATGATAGGCCAAAGTAAAAGTGACTGTCAATAGATAAAAACCCCTTCAGATTATTTCTACTTAATTTAATCTTTCAGTTGTTTATGATTGCTCGGAAAGAACTGTTAAACTCATAAAAGACATCTAAGAACAACAAAAAAACAATATAAAAATATAACATTTTAAAAATATATAGTAATTATAAAGAAATTTGTTAAATGATTGAATTGCTAGACGTTTTATGCAATATAATAGGATATTTTTTCTGTTTTATGCAATTTAATAAAGTTTTATGCAATATAGTATGATTTTTATAGACATTTTATGCTATATATAGATGTTTTATGCAACATAATTAGGTTTTTTTTCCAAATGACTTAACATATCCATAAAGATATTGGATTGCGTAAAAATTGATAAAAAGTTGCATGAACTTGCGATTTTGTAGATAGGTTAACATAAAATATTTCAGATAAATAAAAATACCATGCATTTTTATTTGCTTCTTTTAACTTAGAAGAAACTCTGGAAAGAAAAAAAAATTGAATTATGTTGAGTTTTAAAACATGCTCAAGTGTGTCAGTAGAAAACCAAAAAATACTTAACTACCAATATTAAACTACCAATGTGATAAATGTTGTTAGTTAAAAATTTATGAAATTATACAACAAGTTGTTAAAATTGATACTTTTTAGATAAATAAACTCTATCCGATAAAGTGTAGAAATGTATATGAAATTATAAAAACAACAAAGCCATACAACTTATAGCACCACCATAGATATCTAGATCGAAAGTTGCTAATCAATTAAAAAACAGGTTTTTTAAAAAAAACATAGTAATAACGATGAAAACAGTAAACGAAACCATGACAACGTAAAGGGTCAAATATTACGTAGGTGGGCAAACAAAAAACAAAAAAACCATATATTTATAAAAAATGACAACCCAAAAACCAACATTTTTACATATATATACACACACACCCATGCACACATATATGTAAAGTATGCCCGCGTAACAATGTAGTCATAGCTCCCTAGTCTACCACTAATTATTATCGCATAATATAAAAAAATTTAAAAAATATTTTAATATTATATGCATACATGTTCATAGATACACACAGGTACCAATGGTTGTCGAAGAAAGTATTGATTATCAGAGGACAATTATACATAAGTAAGCTTAGATATGTACCAGAAGCAAAAGCACTGTACCACGGAAACAGTAATTATGTATGTGACCGTATCAGTACGTTATAGTTATATTACTAGAAATCAATGTGAAAACTTCTAATCCCGAAGCACATCTAGTTAACCCAGCCATACTACAAATGACCTTTGATGGATGTAGCATCCATACATAGAATTTATATTATCTTCTGGTTCTAAAAGTTATCTTAGATATGTACCTGAAACAAAAGCACTCTCCCACGCAAATAGTAATTATTATGTGACCGTATCTGTTATACGTATACATTATAGTTATATTACTAGAAATCAGCATTAAAACTTCTAATCCCAAAACACATCTAGCCAACCCAGCCATACTACAAATTACCTAAGATGGATATAGCATCCACACCTAGGATTTATATTATCTTCTGGTTCTAAAAGTTAGCTCAGATATGTACCAGAAACAAAAATACCCTCCTGCGAAAACAGCAATTATGTATGTAACCGTATTTATGTATTGTCGTCATAGTTGTAAGTAATAGTGATAATTAAACTAATAATCAAATAGTGATAAAAATTCCATGAATGATAGACTATAATGATATTAAAAGCAACACGTAATCTAGATAAGTAAAGATAAAAATATAAATATAAAATATGAAGAAAATAAAAAAAGTAATAAGCCAAAAAAAATATAACCATAAAATTCTAGTAATATAACCGTAAATAAAATTCTAGTATGGAAAATAGTCATAGCTCCTTAGTCCCAACATAAATTTTTTTAAAAAATGCAAAAATATGCATCAAAGGACTAGACCGAGCTGTCAAGCCCAAGTGAAATAAGGAAAAATTTAGAAAAAGAGAAAGGATAAAATAATTAAAAATATATATTGAACAGATGTTCAGAGCAAAAACAAAAATACTATAGTAAAGCGTGTAGTAAAAAATAATAATAATAATTTAGACAACGCGCATGTAAAAGAAATGTAATAAAAACAAAACAGGACACATAAGTAACCATAAATCTACAGTAAATATAAATGTTTAACATACTTAAAATAAAAATACATATGTATAGATATATCAGTATTTAAAATGAATAAATATAAATTAATAGGAGGTATAAAATAAAGAAAAAACATTTTTGCTTTTCTGTAATCATAATTTAAGTAGTGGTGGTAATAAACTTCTCCTCAGAATCAGGTTTATTATTATCGGCGTTTCGAAGAGGCTCATTTAACATATGAAGCTCTTAGAGATCTGTTTTTTGGGTCTTTTTTGAATTCAAATTTACATACATATGTATATACATGTGTGTGTGTCTTTCAATTTATATTGAAAATTAAAAGACATATAATGAAATAAATAATGAACAAAATAAATCAAAACATTTTTTCGTTATGACTAGGAGTGTTTAAACAAATTTTTTGTAGAAAACAGAACTTTGTTTTTTTTTTTTTATTTGTTATGATGTCACTCCATTGACTAGTCTTTAACAACAAATTATAATTTGTAGTTTTTAATTATGAAAAAAATTTGTAGTTTTTAATTATGCAAAAAATTTGTAGTTTTTAATTATGCAAAAAATTTGTAGTTTTTAATTTCAACTATGCAAAAAAAGGGCGCTTTTTTCTGCTTTAAGCGCAATATTTAATTAAATAATTTTTCTACCGTTTAGTGAAAAAGCATTGAAGTATTACTTGAATAATGAGGGTGTATAAAATCCCTAGAAATAATGTATTATATTAAAAAGAATTTTATCAGGATAGGTTTATATACTATAAACAGTTGTTTAACTTAATTTAATAGAAGTAAATAATATGTATAGAAATAAAGTTTGATAGAGGATAGAGGTTGATAGAGGATAGAGGTTGATTGAGGATAGAGGATGATTAAGGATAGAGGTTGATAAAGAAAAATTTTACGATTGACTAAATAAATGAATTTAAATGAATTTAAATTTATATTTATATAAATTTAAATATATTTAAAGTTATATAAAAAGTTATATAAAATAAGCAATTACTAATGAGCTTTTCAACTAGGAAGTTCATGTTTCCTTCCTTACCAGTGTCACAAATATGGAACAAGCTGGTATAGAACTTCAGACTTCTTGATTCTGAAACAAATGCACTAACCACATGAAAAAAAGCAAAGTATTATTATTTATCTTTGCTTTCTTGTTAAGAATTTTTTAGCCCAAATATTTCTATTGTAATTAAGCTCTAAAATTTTATTTAACTTAAGTTAAGTAAGAAAGTTTAATTATGCAAGTATCTTTGCATAATTAAGCTTATATTTATGAAATCTTTTAAGCAAGTAAATCAATAATTTTTATGCTTAGCAGTTAGTTTTGAATTTAAAAATTATCCAGAAGATCTTTTTTAAACCTAATAATAATAGCTAGTAAAAAAAATTTGGACTAAACCAATTGATAAATTAATGATGTTTTTTTTTGTTTTGTTTTTCTAAGTATTTTAAATTATTTTCACTTCTGCTTAGACAATATTACTTTTTAATTTGTCTCAGTTGTTCAAACCATTTGTTACATTTGTGTAACAACAATAACAAATAAAATCTTCTTGCCTCAATCCTATAAAAAACTTGTTTTGGTTAAAATTAAAACATAGTAAATCAGTTAAATTTGAGTTTTTTTAAAACTTTTTTTTTAAAAAAAGTGCTTTGTTATATGGAATTTTTATTTTTTTTATTTTGTGCTCTGACACTAAAATGCAAAAAAAAAAAAAAAATAAAAAAAAAAAATAAGAAAAAAAAGTTTTTAAAAAAGTTTGTCAAGTTGGGTCTCAAATGAACTGAAAAAAAATTACCTTAAAAAAGTTTATTTTTTACTTACAATTTTGCTCCTTTTAAGATCCAAGTTAACATACTTATAAAAAACTTTTTTATTTTGCTCCTAGAAATTGTTGAGTTTTCATTATTTGTTGTTGTTGTTGCTATGCTGTAAATTTGTATATACACTGTTTTGTTGTTACAGAACATTGTGTAATACACATAGTACAACTTATATACATATTATATTTTTATTAAATTATATACATATTATACATAAATATTCCTTTAAAATGTTTTTTCTAAGAACTAAACTATAGTTAAATTTTTTTTTTTTTATAGTTTAATTTATAGTATCTTCTAATTTTAATTCTAGCTCATGAAGAGTGGAATCTATTGTACAGAGAACTCTAACACTCTACTACCAAACGTTCTCAAAGCTAGAAAAAGTTAGTTTTTGCTGTCTTACTTTGTGTGTCGCTGTTAATTTCTTTTTGTAAGTATTGGAAAAATTTTAAAGTATTCCTTTAATGTTGTTTAACATTGACAGGTAATAAACTATTCCTTTAATGTTGTTTAACATTGACGGGTAACTTGAAAAATACCTTTAATTTTAGCTCTCTTTAAAAATCAATAGCAGAAGTTTATTATGACATTGTTTTGACTTGGTTATGAAGTTAATTATGAACAAAAAAAGTAAAAAAATAAAAACAAAACCATACTCTCTTTCTCTCTCTCTCACTCACTCTCTCTCTGTCTCTCTCTTTCTCTTTCTCTCTCTCTCTCTCTCTCTCTCTCTCTCTATATATATATATATATATATATATATATATATATATATATATATATATATATATATATATATATATATATATATATATATATATGTATATATATATATATATATATATATATATATATATATATATATATATATATGTATATATATTATATATATATATATATATATATATATATATATATATATATATATATATATATATATATATATATATATATATATATATATATACTACATACAGTGATATGCAAAAGTTTAGCACTTTTTATAAATTCTATATTAATGAATAATAATCAATTATTTCATATGTAACTTTATTTTATGGTTGATTAGCTATGTACACACTAAACACAAGAAATATATGTCAATAAAGGTAACAATTGTTAATATTTTTATGGGTAACCTTTTAATTTCCACACTTCAGAGATTCTCTTAAGCATTGAATTGCATAGATTTTGACACATTTTGAACTCTTGCAGCCAGACATGCTTAATTGCAACTTTAAGTGCATCAATTGTTCTTTCTCTTGCAAGGGCAACTGGTTTTTACTATGTGCCACAGATTTTTAATAAGATTTATATCTAGGGAATTCAAACCAATTCAAAATTAATATTATTGCTCCGCATTGCTGCGGTGTCCATTTTTTATGTTGCTGACAGAATGTATGTCTCTTATTAATGTGATTTTAGTGCGTCATTTTTTTTTTTTTTTTTTTTGAGTTTCACTGGTTAGCCAAGGTTTTTATTTAATTTGCAATTCATAGTTAACTTGGAAACATTGTGCAGAATACTTTCTTGCTGGTCACAAACAGCTTTTATTGCTCTTCCCATTCTGCTTTGTGTATCTAGTGCAACTTTTAGCCATCTTCCAGACTTTGCTTCTAGCTTAATGTTACTACTTAAGTTTTTTTTTTTAAAACTCTAGATTTGGGATATTTCTAAAAACTGATAATATTTTCAATAAGAAGCAATAGTTTTATTAGATAGTATCTATAGTAACAATAACTTTATTAGATGGGTGAATCTTCTTAAGCTCTACCTTCTTTTCTCTGGGGATAACTGTTTTGGTTTACAATAAGAAGCAATAGTTTTATTAGATAGTAACTATAGTAACAATAACTTTATTAGATGGGTGAATCTTCTTAAGCTCTACCTTCTTTTCTCTGGGGATAACTGTTTTGGTTATAAATATATTATTTCTGGGGATAACCCATTTTTGTAAATTTTCTCATAATACTCCACACAACTCCTCATACTGCTTCTAACTCTTCATACAACTCGACTACTTTATATACTATATCCCTCTATACTATATAAGGTTGTTAGAAGCGTCTTGGTCTTATTGTTTGTAATTATTTTTATTGTTAGTGGTATTACATTTATAATGTTAAAAAACAATTTAATTAATTAAATTGTTTTTTAACATTATAAATGTAATACCACTATTAAAAGGTATCAGATTTATTTAGTTTTTACACGGCTCTGTTTAAAAAAATTTCACATTTTTATATATATATAATTTTTATTATTAGATTTTTAATGGTTTTTATTAAATTATAGATCTGGAAAGGCAAGTTGTACCATGGGAAAGTGATAAAGGCATAGAATTCTGTCCGCATTGCAAAAAGAAATTTAGTTTAACGTATCGTCGACATCACTGCAGGCTGTGTGGCAGAGTTGTATGTGATAATTGTCTTAGCAATTTAAATATGCTGCTCCCAGGTAATCTTCAACAAAATTTATTATTTATCTTATGAATACATGGTATCATGATGTATTAGTATATTATAATACAGGGTGAAGTTTGTATATATTTAGTTTTCGATATATATATATATATATATATATATATATATATATATATATATATGTATATATATATATATATATATGTATATATATATATGTGTATATATATATATATATATATATATATATATATATATATATATATATATATATATATATATATATATATATATATATATATATATATATATATAGAAAAAAAAACATTTTCTCAATTTCAGCAATATACATTAGTCTAATATTTCTAAAAAGCAAAAATTTTACACATTCCCTTAATAAAGATAAAAAAATGTCAAAAAGAATTAGTCAGAGATAATAAATTGTATATATTTTTAACTGATTTTTAGAAAGAACCTCTTTAAGTTACTTTTAGTTGTCCCTAGTTGTCACTAAATTTATGTTATATTGTAAGATTTTTATCTACATACAATATCCTGAATAAGAATTTAGTTTCTCTCTGCGCAATTGTTGACACAAGTCACTTTTTTAATATAATTTTTGAATATATTTAATAAATGCTTTCTCCACCCTCCACTGCTTCATCTACTTCTAACAGGGACTAACTTTCTGGACCTACCAGCTACCAGCTACCGTTCCTTGCTTCCTGTTTTTTTTTGTCAGATGTGTTGTATCTGCTGTAACATTTATTACAGCTGATTATGATTTCAGATTTCAGATCCTGATTAAGATCAGATTCCTGTTCTTATGTTTCTGAGATATGGTTACTATCAACTTATTTACCAAACTATTGATTTGTGTTAATTTTATATCTTATTGATGCAAAATTAAGTTAAACAAGTTATTTAACATTATAGTTTTATTATTCTTGTATTATTTTTTTTTGGTTTTATATTATGTCTCATTTTAATACATAGGAGGTTGTTTAAATCTATATTTCATAAAATTGGTTGTTGTTAACCCTTTAGCACCCACAGTATCCATATGGCTGCCATTGGTTTTACCGGCTGTAGAAACATTGTCTGCTGTATTGCTTATTACGAATTATGTTTTTTTAGTAAGTTTGACCACTAAATTATCAAATTTTGTTAATCAGTGCTCAATGGCAGCATTAATTTGCTTGAAAATCAAGTGTTTACTGAAAGCATATTTTCATCCTAAAAAGTAGTCGTTCTTCACAATTTGAATTAAGAATTCACAATTTGAAGTTTTGATTATCTTATTTGACTGTTAATGTTATTTGTCAATTTGTTAATTATTTGTCAAAAGATTGGATCTGTGGAAAACAAAAAAAATGTTAAAAATGTTTAAATATAATTACTAATGAAAGATGTATTTTTATAATATCCATGCGGCTACTACTGGCGGTATGTGTAAAAGTTATATATTTATATATATATATATATATATATATATATATATATATATATATATATATATATATATATATATATATATATATATATATATATATATATATATGTATATAAGGGTGTCCCAAAAAACAACATTTTTGAAAATAATCTGCTCTCACCCCCTAAATGCGTTCTACCTAATGCAAAAACACTAGGTTTAAATTTTTTTTGAATAAAAAGTATTTTAAGGGGTCCCTCAAGACCCTCAAATATTTATGGGTCCCTAATATTTTTGAAAAAAAAGTTTTTCAAAAATATGTCAACCTGGTACTCAAATGAAGCGAAATTATATAAATATTTCAAAAGTAATATTCATTTTGAAATATTTTTAACTTATTTATCAAAATTATCATAAAAAAACATTAAAAATGCATTTTTTTAATTTTTTCTTAAAAAACTCAGTTTTTTATGTAATAAAACCAAAAATAATAATTTTGTTTCGAAATAAATATTATTCTTAAAATTTTTATATAATTTAAATATTCGAGGGTCTTAAGGGACTCCTTAAAATATTTTTTATTCAAAAAAAATTTAAACCTAGTGTTTTTGCATAAGGTAGAATGCATTTAGGGGGTGAGAGCAGATTATTTTCAAAAATGTTGTTTTTTGGGACACCCTAATATCAGCGTGTAAAATAACGGCCAATGAACACCCAAAATGAGTAAAATTGCTATTTTAACCTCCCAAAATGAATTCTTGTCGGGTTGACCATTTAAAAAATAAATAGAGTTTTGAAAAACAAGATTTGAAAAATAATCAGATTTATATTTGGAAAAAGTATGTACTAAATTATCATATAATCATTAAAATTTTGAAAAAGTTTATCAAACTTTCTTTAAGAAATAAAATAAAAATCTGTGTGCCTAATTTTAAACTATTAAAATTAGGGTGTAATTTTAATGTTAGTTACTTGCAAGTTTAAAAAAGGAATACTAATTCGTTAATTATCAAATATTAAGTATTATTTTTGTATTTATAAATTCAGTCATGAAGAACTATTACAAAGATTAAAATAAAAACAAAGAAAATAATAAAAATGTTGACCGTCCAAAAAAAACAGTTGACCGTCAGTTCCAAGGGTTGCTGGTCAAATTGACCGCTCACCTTCAATTTCTTATTTTACACGCTGATATATATATATATATATATATATATATATATATATATATATATATATATATATATATATATATATATGTATATATATATATATATATATATATATATATATATATATATATATATATATATATATATATATATATATATATGTATATATATGTATATATATATGTATATATATATGTATATATATATGTATATATATATATATATATATATATATAAACAGTTTTTTGTATTATTTACTTTTTCATTATAATTTAAGTAAAAATATAAAAATGTTCATAAAAAATTCCTTTACTACTGAAGAAGTTCTTGATTTTGTTTTGAATCCAGGATCATGTTCTGAACTTTGAGATTTTGAAGATAGTGAAAGCAATGATGAAATGGAATTTGATGAACCATTACAAATTGATGATAGTGTGAAGGAAGGTCAAAGTTACAATATGGAAGAAATTTCTTAAGTTCAAAGTGAAACAGAGGCTTTTGAAAATTATAATAAAAAAGTTACTGACCTTTCAAAATGTGTCAGCCATAAATAAAGATGGCGTTCAACCCAATGGCTAATTACTAATATAGAATTTTGCGGTAAAGGATTCAGTAATCCTCTGTGTAATGCAGACAGTTTAACACCACTTAACTATTTTCAAATATTTTGGAATAATGAACTAAATGAGTTTACTGTCAAACAAACAAATTTGTATAGTGTTTAAAAAAATATTATGTCAGAAGTTACTATTTCGGATGAAGTCGAGCAATTACTTGGTATACAAATGCTTATGTCTATTGTAAAGTTGCTAAGTTGTCAGATGTATTGAACAGCAGCTGAAACAAAATACCCTCAAATAGCTGAAGTTATGTCATTAAACTGTTATATGTGCTTAAGAGAATGCTTACATTTAAATAATAATTCAAGAAAAGATGACTTAAATAACAAAAACAATAAACTGTTCAAAATGCAACCAGTTTTGGAACATGTTAGAAATAACTGCACAATGGTTGAACCTGAAATTGAGCATTCCATTGATGAGCGAATCATACTAGCTAAAACCAAATACAGTGGCATTAAGCAGTATAACCCCAAGAAGCCGGTTAAATAGGGTTTCAAAAATTGTGTTCGGGCAGGGAAATCAGGCATAACATATGACTTCTTTTTGCACTCAGATTTATCCAACAATGGTAAAAATTGCACTGGTGCAAATGTAATATTAAAGTTGCTAGAGAAGTTACCAAAAAATCAGAATTTTAAAGTTTTTTTTGACAATTGGTTTTGTTCAATGCAGTTATGTCTTGCACTCAAAGAAATAGGATTCTTAGTTACTCCAACTATATGACCTAACGGGATAAAAGGATGTGGAAACAGAAAAGGAATTAAAAAACAATGGAGAGGAAGTCAAATTTTAAAAACTGATACTGATTCCGGATTAACTTTAACATGATGGTATGACAACAAGTGCGTTAATTTGATTACAACTTACTGTGATTCTTCATTAGTTACCAAAATAATGAGATGGGATCAGAAATACAAAAATTATGTGGATATTGATTGTCCTAATGTAGTAAAAGAGTATAATAAATCAATGGGTGGAGTAGATTTGGCTGATATATTGATTTCATTATATAGAACTACTGTAAAATCAAAAAGATAGTATATAAAAGTGTTTTTTCAATGTCTTGGTATTGCAAAAGTCAATTGGTGGCTTCTTTATAGATGTCACTGCGATCAACTTAAGGTACCTAAAAAATCTCAAATAAGTTTGTTAAAATTTACTTTAGATATTGCTTCTGATTTAATTAGTTCTAGAAAAATACTAAACACAGTAGGACGACCATCAAAACGGAAATCAGATAACGCATTGTTTACTCCAACAACAACAAAAACCTACGAATGAATATTCCAGTAAATGACTCAAGATATTACAATATTAGTCATAATTTATAGAAAGAAAAAACAAGTGTTGTTTTTGAAAAACTGGCCAAGGAAGAGTGTTTTGCAAAAACTGTAATTTGTGCCTTTGCATGAGCAATACAAGCAACTGTTTATTTGATTTTCATTTTAAATAAAGTTGCAAAATTAAAAAATATTTCTAGACCTTATTTTAACATTTTAAACTAGTTTTATGAAATGAAAATACATATAAAACATTTTAAACTAGTCTTATGAAAGGAAAATACATGTAAAACATTTTAAACTAGTTTTATGAAAGGAAAATACATATAAAACATTTTAAACTAGTTTTATGAAAGGAAATACATATAAAACATTTTAAACTAGTTTTATAAAAGGAAATATAAAACTTTTTAGAGAGAATTAAAATGATGTCATTTGTTTATTTGAGAACTTTTTACTTATTTAAATAAATTTTGAAAAATTACTTTCCTTAATGCCTGTAGTATCCATATGGCTACCAACCATATCTAAAAAACTCCTTATGTCAACATAAATTTGAGACAATAAACAGTCCATTACTCAATAGGAAATAATTTTCACTCTGTGATTTCAATAGGTGGGCTTTAAAGGATTAATAACATTTTTTATATTTTATACTTTTTGTAGTGCATTTATAAAAAAATTAAATTTTCTTGTTAATTAAATTATATCTTTAAAAAATTAAATTTTTTTAAATGACAATATAAGTTATAAAAAGTAAAAAAAAAACACATTTAAGATATAAGTTAAAACTGAATAATAAATAAGATATCAATCAAGATAGCTATCAATCAAGATAGATAACAAAGCAATTAACCACTTATTGATTGTTCATTAGCATTGAGCTTAATCAGAGTTAAATGAGCAGGTTGTACAAGACTGTTCAACTGGTTGCCATTTGGCCTAAACACATTTCAAATCTTTAAGGAGTAAAGGGGCAGCCAAAGTGTCTCAAATTTTAATTTAGTATATGTAGTACAAAGATATTCTTTTTATATAATAAATGTTTATAAATAAGTTAGAATCTATTCTATATTACATAAATATTTATTTGATATTTATAATCTGTACTGCTTAAAATATACTGTTTGTTACATGATTTTAAAGACCTTGTGAAATTTAATATAATTAATGATAAAATTATTCATAGCATATTATTTTGAAATCTAATTTTTTCATGCTTGTAATTTTTTTTTTTTTTTTTTTTTTTAGTTTCCTTATTAAAGTTAGATGAGACTCTTTTTATGAAATCAAATCAATCGGAAGACAATGGCTTACGAGTTTGTGATTCTTGTGTTGATATTCTTACAAGGTTTGCAATATGTTATTATGTCTTGTTATATACTTACATGTTACAACTAAAAATTGGGACTTTGAAAATGAATATCTCTTGAACATCAAGATTTGAAAATGAATATCTCTTGAACATTTTATTGATTTAAAGAACAATAAGAAACTTGTATTTTACAAAATCAAAAAAAAAAAATGTTTATACCTGATTTTAGTTGATTTTGTCATTCAATACTTGATTAAAATGTTTATACCTGATTTTAGTTGATTTTTTTTCATTCAATACTTGATTTGAGGTCTAATTTTACATATTCAAGAGCTATCAAGAGCAAAGAGGAGTTTTCAAGCAAATTCTGGAAGAAAACGTTTTTAAGCAAAGTCATCCGAAATAACTTTCTTATTTTTTTCTTTTTACCTTGTAAATTGGGTGTTAAATAAATAAAATAATAATAATAATATTTCTCTTGAATTTTTTCATACTGCGATCTTTTGTTAAATAATTAAATTTGGTTTATTTTGCAGTTTAGCTCAGTAAAAATCTTTAAAAATTTTAAATATTTGAATCAAATCTCCTCTTTTTTGTTTTTAATCTTTCTTCATATATATAATTTTTTAAGTGGGAATTATCTTTAATTAATCTAATATCCTTTTTACCTTGTGTACTTTTTAATATTTTTATATCAGCTCTTTTAAAAGGATGCTTCTGAAACAGAGAAATTGATATTATTCTAATATATACTGTGTACTGTGTGTTTTCAGAAGCTTCGGGTCGGCTTCGGGTCACAAACAACTGTTTTAAATCATCTTAAGCATAAAGCTTTAGAGCGATTTAGAATTATTTTTGTTTCCACTTTAGATCATTTGACCACACAATTTTTGCTTGCTCACTTTTGCATTTAATTTAATATTTTTAATAAAACAATTATTTTTTCAATCTTAATCAGCCATTTTTTAAGAAAATTAAGTATTTTTCTAAAAATCATTTTCCAAAAGTGAACCACCATTTGAAGATCCTAAATTTGATATAATTTTGTATATATAATGTCATCAGCGCGTAGTTAACATTTATTCTTTATTTAATCAAATGTGTTGTTAATATGAACAACCAATAGTAAGGCACTGAGCAATGATCTATACAAAACTTCACTTGGTACAGCATTCCACAATGATAAAATGTCACAGTGAACCACCCTTTGTTTCTTATCAGTTAAGAAAGTGATAAAGTTTACTTTTGAAACATAATTAGCTTATAAGTTATCTCTATTTAATGGCAAATATCTATAATGTTTAATATCATAGATATAACAAACAAATATCATTGTTATCTGTAATATCCGATTCAAAACCTAGAATGATGTTTGGCATTTCTTTATATCTAAGTTTATTATTAATAAATTCCATGATTTTAGCTCTTTTTTTGAATTTAAGTTGTTTCTGGTTGCTCTAATAATTGATTTTACTGGTTTTTCCCAAAATATATTTATTCAAAATATATTGGGTTTATTTTGTATACAATTTTAATTTCATCAATTTTTAAAAAAGGCATTGTGATATAAAAAATCCATAACTTTTTTTTGAATTTTTTTATAGAATATTAAAAAAGTAAGTTGCTTTTTCTCATTTTTGTAAGTTGATCTCTTTTTTGATATATGTTAAAATTATTTAATCTCTCTGCTTCTTTCAAACTCAGGTTCACAAAAACCATTTTAAAATTGAAATCATTTTAATTAGACAAGGAGCAAGTAGAAATTAGTAAAAAGCAAGGAGTTTTTTCAAATTAGCTTTATAATCCAACCAAGACATCTAACTTACTAGACTTCAGTCTTTTTATAAATATTGGTTTACAGTTCAAATAAATGCTTTAAAAATGTTTTTCAATTAAATCTATATCTGCAACCAACTTGACTGACTAAAATATGTTTATAAATTGACTAAGAAAAAAATGGACTACTGTGTACAGCAGACAACTTTCAGACACAATTCCCAAGGTTTAGTAAGCAACTGTATAATCATAAAACATATTTATTAGAAAGAAACTTAGAAAAAGAACTATAACAACAAGTTCACTAGTTAGATTGTTAAGTTCACTAGTTAGATTGTTGTTATGTTAATATAAAAAGAACATAGAAAAAGAACTTAGTAAAACATTTTTATGAATGCTTACTCTTTTTTTTTTTTATCATCTTTAACTTAATTACTTCGTTTTTATTTATCTAGACAGTTGCAACTTCGAGAAATAGCAATGGCAAACACAATTCTGCTTCAGCTCTATGAGGTTTTTTGAGAGCAGCATTTTTTAGTTTTTTAAATTAATATTTACTTGAATGTGAAGAAATACTCAAATTCTTTAATACATGATAAATTTTGTGCGTGACTCAAATTGAATAAGGCCAATAGGAGTTGTACCGTTTTCACATAGTATTGTTTATTTATATATTTTTTTATTATTATTTTTATTATTTATTGTTCTAGATATTTTACAGCAAAACTAATAAAATTTAGTTTATTTTAAATTTTATCTTATCTATTTTAAAAGTAATTTTAAAAAAACAAAATAATTTAAAATCTGTGTATGATAAGTCCATGTTTTGTTTTAATAAACTGTAAAACAAGATGAATGTTAAGTTTGAAAATATTTAAGGCACCAAATAAATGTAAAACATCCCAAGAAATAGTTCTACCGAATATAATTGTAACAGCTATTTTTTATTTGCTATATTTTTTTTAGATTAGTGTGGTAAGTACTTGCCCGCATGTTGCGATAAGTTACTATGTATTTACTATGTATTATGTATAAATGAAAAGTATATTAAAACTTGTCTTAAAAGTGGTCTAAAAAAACCAGAGTTAGACCACTTAAAAGTGGTCTAACTCTGTATAATGTAAATATATAAAGTTTCCATGATACATTTTCATCAAAATTCACTCCTTAAAAATTTAAGGATGTTTGCTTATTGATGTTAATTAAAAGAGTGGATAGAACAAGAGGTATTTGTTTTGTTTTGTTGTGTGAAAAAGAAAAAATTTAGTCTTGAACATTGAAAGGTTTGTCGCATATAAACCATTCATTACTTTATTTAATTTTTTATTTACTATTTTAAAAAGTTTTACAACATTTTTATAAGAATAAAAAGGATGAGAGCAATCTGCCTATAAAATAAAATTTATTAGGTTTGATTTTAAGCGTAAATCATGTATGGTAAGAAAAGTAATAAAGGACTTACTATCCGCATCCCTAGAATCTAGGTCCCTAGGTATAGAACCCTGCGTAGTAATAAAGTTTGATTTTAAGGATAAATAATTTATGTATGTTAAGAAAAGTAAAGGTCTTAGTATAGAACCCTGTAAAAAAACTATTAGAGTTTCTATATGCCATCAGTTTTTAAAAAATATGTCCCAATTCTAGTTAAGCTTTTACGAAATTGGTTTGATTTTCAATTTTAAAATTAATTGCTTTGACAACATTCTCATATTTTGCTATGACTAAAATATACACGTTTAGTTTGAATTAAAGCATAAACTTAAAAAAAGATCAAAAAGAATAGATCAAATCTATGGTGATTTTTATTGTCAAGTTTTTAGAATTTGTTGAAAAAATAAATTTATTGAAATGTTTTATTCAAAACAAACAACTAATAGAAAAAGAGACTGTTTTACGAAACAAACAAGTGTATCTAACTAATTTAAAACAATTAAAACTAAAAAGTAAAAATGTGAGTTAGTAAATTAAAAATCAAGTACTATAAGATTAGAAAATTTTTTGAATATTTTAATAGGTTCTCAATTACAATCTTATTTAAAAATCTTTATTGAGCTTTTAAAAATATTGATTTTAATATTTGTTTTTTAAGAAAATGATTTTTTCCATGCATGAAGCAAACGAGATTTTGCCAAAGTTTTTAAAGATGGCTGATTCATTAAAGTATGTTAACGTTTTTTATATAAAAAAATATCATTGTGTACGTTTATTTTTATTGTTATTGTTGTTATTACTTTTTGCTTATATATTTAGTTCTGGAGAAACTGAATATGGATTTGAGTCGGTTACGGAAACAAGATTGAAACTTCTAAAGTACTACGAATCTGTAGAAAGTATTAGGTATTTCCAAGACTGATTAATGAACCTTGAATTTTTTTATTTAACAATCTTAATTAAAGTTAATTATTTTTAAGTAAACGGATTCAGTTTCTTGGAACAGACAAAGATAAACAACCACATGCTGGAGCTTTAAGATTGCAGCGCTCTATTCGCATTTACGCATCAAATTATTTAGCAGAAAATATGTTTACACTTCCTGGTTTGCCTTCAAAAGAAAAATACTATGAAAATTTGAAGCAAAAAGAACAAGAACGAGTACGCATGCGTGTTGAGAAAACTAATTTAATTTCTTTGCCGACAGAAAATGCACAAACTAAGAATGAAGCAATTTCAGGAAAAAAGGCCGAACTAGTTGAGCGGGAAAAGAAAGTAGATTTAGGATGGGGACCTACTCAAGTCACAGTCGAAAAAGCATCAGATCCCATTCTTCAGCAAATTGAAAACTTAAAAAGTTATATTCAACAGGCTAAAGAAGCAAAAAAGTTTGACGAAATTAAAACTTTAGAAGAAAATCTTAGATATTTTCTTGAATATAAATCCCAACAGCAAAAAATTAACTAATTTTCTGAAAAAATCTAACGTTTTAAAATCATCGCTTTAATGTTTATGGATGAGTGTTTCGTAAACATTGTTGCAAAAAAAACGTTTCATCACTCTTTTGTAAAAAAGATTTTTCTTTTTTTCTGTGCCCTAAATATTAAATATAAATCCTCAAAATTTACGTTCGGTATTCGGCAACGGGACGGAATTCGGCAAAAATAAGGTTTTATTTTTTTTTTAATCCGAGGGTTTATACACACATACATGAGTGTGCGTGTGTGTGTGTCTTTGTGAATTATACAATGATTTATTATTTTATACTTTTCAACTTTTTTTTTTAAATTATGATTATTATGTTTTAGCGTTATTTTTAAGATGTTTGGTCATCGTCATATAAATGAAATCAAATTTTTTCCTATATTTTTTACGTATATTTACGCTTATTATGTTACGTTGTTTTTTACGTTTTTTAAAAATTTATAATCTAGTATTATTATTATTATTTTAATTTGATAACTGTTTAATATTCTGGTATTAAACACTTATCAAATAACTTTTTGAATTTTTTTGTTTGTTTTGTTTTGTTGTCTTTCTATTTACAAAAACCTCTTTTAAAAAAAAGTTTTTTATTTTGTTTTCATAAAGTGTAATATGTATCAGGAAAATTAAAATTAAGAAATGCCGTTGCACGTTTTTTTAAAAACGAAAAGAGAAACTCGATTAGCTATGTAGTTTTTGCTAGTTTGATTGTTTAAATAAAAAATAAAAAGGACAACCTTATAGTTATTATTTTATTTGATGGTGTAGCCAATGTTTTAAAAGGGATGGGAAAGAATATATTATTAACCGTAATCATGTTAATCCGTACGGTTGGTTGCCGTAAAATAAACTGTTTTTGAGGTAATCAAGCGTAAAATTGTTCACATTTATCTACATATTTTTAAGAATTTTTAATTTCTATAAAAACAATTAAATGACAGCGGAGTATTTTACTACCCCATAGATGTTTTTTTTTTTTAATTGTCACATTCGTGCATAAAGTTACAATTATCCCATACATGCATTACATATTCAGGCATTGTAACAAGTAAAGGGTGCTTATATTGGATTTTTTTTGTTTTTGTGGTTTATTAAAAACATTACTTCATTATTTCAAATTTTTTCTCTCAAATGCTCTTTTTAATTTTAATCCTAAGGTAGATTTCTGAATAGATAAGATGCGTTTTGCTTTTTGGTCGTATGTTTTAGAGTTTTCTGCATTATATATATATATATATATATATATATATATATATATATATATATATATATATATATATATATATATATATATATATATATATATATATATATATATATATATATATACATACATACATACACACACACACACTTTCTTCTCAATTATACTTTCTTTGTACTATTTCTAGCACAATACTTTTTTTCCCACAGTCTATCGTCTAATCGTCTTTAAATTATGCAACGCAAAATATTTTTAAAAAACAGATTAGACTCTTTTACGCGGTGATTTTCAATAAACTTAATGGGGTATTTTAATTTATTTTTTTTTAATTCAAGGAAAATTTTTTTAATGCAAGGAAAAACTTTTGATCTTTTTTGCTTTGTTTATTTTAAAAGTTTGCGCTACGTAATTTATGAACGATCTTTTTCTTCTTCTGACTATCATAATAATGACTTATCATAATGACTAAATAAAATGTTGTATCAATACTTATTAAAGATATCTTATCATAATGCATATAATTTAAATATATTAGGATCTTATTTTATGTGGTTATATACCCAGCGAACATGTCTTATTGGGGCCCATATGAGTTTGCCCAAGTGGGCCCAAAATAGACCCCATGTAGGTTAGCCCTTGAACACAAAACATTTTGTATTCAAGGGTTTTTGTATCCAGCTAATTGCCTAGCGGAGTACCTCATACCATAGCGCGCACGATCCATATATGAGTATAAATGGGCTCCATGTAAAGGCCATTTAGGGCTCATATATGCAGTTTAAAAAGCGTTAAATTCCATCTTAATTATTAAATTTAAATGCATCCGTGCGCGCTTTGGTATGAGGTACTCCACTAGGCAATTAGCTGGAGCAGTACAAATCACAATACCGCTCTTACTTTTAAAAACCCCTTTACGTTTCTCAAATGTAATTACGTCTCTAAGCTTTCCTCAAATTTTAAACTAAATTCAAATAAAATCTTTTTCAAAAAAATTGATAATATTCTTGACGCTTTTTGACTTTTTAATGTTTTCCCCAGAACTTATGAAATTTTAACACTGTTTTTTTTTTTTATTTCACCAAAAGTTCTAAGCTAATCGCAGTTTAATTTTTTAATTTTTTTTTTTTTTCAATTTTGCTTACAATTATATGCCGTATATATGGTGTTACAATTTAAAAAATTCCAATATCAGCAAAATTAAAATATGAAAAACACTCACATATATAAATATAAGCATATATACACATACAAATCTATAGATGCGCAGATATATAAACTTTTAACAATTAAACATAAGCTAGGATCTGAAATAAGATCACAAGATCTTGTCGTCAGAACCTTATAAAATACAATCAAGCAAAATAAAGTATAACATACTAAAAATTAAAATAAAAAAGTAATAAAATCCGAATTGAATAACAGTTTTCAAAGTATTAGAAGTGTCTGAATATATAATCAAGGAGGCATAATAGCTTAGCTAGAGGGAGAACGAAGCCAAAAATGGATTTAAATCGCGTTACAGTCTATGTAGTACAATTATTCCACTAGCAAGTCAAAATGGCGCTTTTGCAAAAAAATGAAAAAATTTGAAATGTAATCAGTAAGCTTTGAGAGTTGTAATAGAAATAGATTAATAAAATAAAAGTTTGTGGGATATGTTTTAACAACTATTTGATCAATCGAGAAGTTAATTAAAACAAAAATAACGATTAAGGTGAAGTAATCTAGGCGACCGTGGTGCAGTGGTTAGAGCGCTTGCTCTATAAGCAGGAGATCAAGGTTGCGGACATATTTCGCGCCACAGTAAGGAAGGAGGTGTGAACTTCCTGGTTAAATGCACTTCCAAGGTGCTCTGTGACAAGACTCTTGGAACTTCTTGGGGCACCTAAAGAACAAAAAAAAAATCTCTACTATCAATTTGAACCTTATTTTTTGCTTGCTTGTTCAACTATAGGTTAGTTAGCTTCTTTAAGACTGGTCTTTCGGCCAGGAATTTATTAAATCCCGCCAGGACTTTATTTTGTGTTGGAGTATTTTTGCTGGATTTAAAAGAAAATTGCTTCATTTTAAATCAGGGCCGACGACATCGGGGGTTTGGGGCACGTGCTCCCCCCTACTTTTTTTTTAATTTTTTTTTAAGAAAAATATTGATATAGAGGACTTTTTTCACAAATTGATGATTGTGCTCCCCCCCTTCACTTCAAAACCCGTGTAGCCGGCCCTGAAAATACATGGCAAAAATATAAAGAGATATAAAAATCATGGCAAAAATACAACCAATTCTTATCTAGATGTTTATTAATTCAAATCTAATCTAGAAATTTATTATTAGTTGTTCAAAAACCCAACAACAAAAAAAAATTAAATATTTTAAATATTGTTTGACTTTAAATATTGCTTACGAAATTTTTAAACTTCCATTTTTTGTTTGCAATGCTTTAATTACTTATGACGTTTTGAAACAATATCCTGGATAGCTTTTGCTCAAAGTGGAATGTGATTAATTAACTTTTAATTATGATAATTCCGCGGTGTTTAATTGAAAATTATGTTACTACTAAGACTGTTCTTTGAGAAATGACATATTTAAAATATGTCTTCGTTCTCCCTCCAGCTACGCTATTATAACTGCTTGATATAATCATGAAAGTATGAAACTAATGGAATTCAACTGCATCGGGACTATGCTTGTAACCTTTAGTTTCGTGAACAATAAGAAAACAACATCAAGACTGTACTTAAACGCCTAATCTTTATAGGTTGACGCAAATAGGTACGTTTAAAATAATTTAAAAATAAAGTTTCGCCAGAAAAACATTAAAAATAGCGTAACAAAACGGTAAACAACAATTTTTTTATAAACTTCATATTAAATAAATGGAGTATTACAAGAATGAATGGAGTTATGATATATAGCTAATAAAACTTTAAACTTTAGTTATTTAGAAAAATGTTTTTTTGATTTTTTAAAAATTGTTTTAGTTGTTTTTTTTATCAAATGTCGTGTTATGACTTGAAGCAAGAAAAGAAGCTTAAACTAACATATGCTTATAAAGTCACGTGGTTCTATTTAATTATCGAGTTTTAAAAAACCTTTTGCTGAGTAATTGTAAATACTAATGGTTAAAAATTTGCATCAGTGGCGGATTAAGACTTCTTGGGGCCCGAGGCTATTTTTGTTTTTGGAGGCCTTTTATGGGTCAGAGCCTAAAAATGACTTCAAAAAAAAAAAAAAAAATCCTCTAAAATTACTGGGGACCCCTAAATTTGCGGGGCCCAGGGCTATAGCCCCCCTCCCCTTGATCTAGCACTGGCATAATTCATTTTTTAATGTTTAAATAATAATCATTTCAGTGAATTTTGTTGTTTTTTTATCCAGTAAAACTTGTTTTTTTTTTTTTATTTTCGGTTACAAGCATACTCCCGAGACAACTTGAAATTGCTTTGATGTTTGGGGCTTGATGAACTTCCATCTATTTTATACTTCCATGATATAATCAAGTAAAAAAATCCATTTTTTTAGATTGAGCTTGAAAAGGTAAAAGGAAGTTAGTAGATCGAAATTCCACAGAACAACATTATTCCATAGAGTCCACGATAAACAATGCAAAGTTAATTAAATTTTGTGTGACAAAATGGCTCATTAAAAAAATTAATGTTTCTCATATCGTATTTGTTGTTAGGTTTGAGTTTGAAAATATTATTAAAAGCGGTAGGGGATAAATTATTTCTCCTTCATTATACAAAACATAAAACTTTAAATACATTGAGTTCAAATAAATTTAATAATCTCATATCAGTAAAAATAGGTTTTGTATGTGTAAATATACAAAAGAAATTTGCATTTTCAATCGTTGCTAAAAGAGATGCTTCAATGATTTCAAATATTTTTTTTTTAAACGATAAATCATAATAGGAGTTCCTAAATTGTATTAGCAAGTTAAGGATTTGTGACTGGGCAGTGAGTGTGAGTCCTGTTGTGGCAGAATTGAAACTTTATGACACAATCCACTTATGTCCTCGATATGAAATATATGTTGATGATAGTCTTGCTTTTACCATTCGTGTATATTCTTGGCTTATTCCAGATGATAATTTAATATATACAAAATATAAAAGAATAATGCGACATATTTCAGCTTCAAATCTTGTTTCTGTTGTTACTTCGTTTAGCCTGTGTTCTGGAATAACTGATGTATTCGCATTGAAGTAAAATCTGCATATCAAACATTGTATTTTGAAAAAGTTTGATTTATTTTTATCTAAGAATGAGTTTCCTTTGAATCAGACCAAGTATTTTTGATCTGAGTCATGTACTATGCTTATTGAATTAGTGTTATGCTGCTCTCAATCCAAAAGCATTAAAAAAAAAGAAGTTATAAGTTTGAAAAAAATGTTCATAATGCTTGTACCCCTGCTAAATTAAATGCACCAATTAAATTTACATCTTCAGATTGTCTGAAGCTTGCATTACAGAGTATTCGTCTGGAAAATATAGAATTAAAAAAGGAATTAGTTTTGATGAAACAAGA